TGTGTCTGTCGTCTATATCATGGCTCTTCTTAGTATGAAGTAAAATTTTTGAAAATAGGTCACCTTTTTTATGAAGGTTGAAAACGTTAAACTTGATTAAAGAAGAAAGAACAAAAAGATAGTAGTATTCATAATCATTTGATGAATGATAAATGTTCCTCTTTTCAGAACGACTTTTCCTCTTCACTCTTGAATTTTCTGTTCATCAGCAATTATCATCTACTATACTATACATAAAAAACGAATTCTGAAAACTCATAGATCATTGGTAAACAAGGAGAAATGGTATTCTCCGTAGCCTCGACTGACTACAAGGATGTTTTCAAACTCTTATCATTTCAATACAAGGTCGAGTACTTCGCTTTCTGTAAATGTCTAAAAAGGTTCCTGTAAACTCTGGTAGATGTTCTTTTATGTATTCAAAAAATTGCTTTGTATGAGTACACGACGAATATGAAGGTTAATAATCGTCTCTACTGTTTTATTGACTGATCGTTAAGTGATCATTAAAAAAATAGAACAAATCAACGAATATAAAACAATAATTTAACGTTTAACATTATCAAGAGTATTACTCTAATTGAAAACATATTTTCTACATAAGATTTGTCTATGAAACATTTATTTCATATTCTAAATAAAACTCTAAATTGTTCATTATGATATATAACATAATAGACTAGGCTATCGCATTGGATCGCATCTCACAGAGTCAAACATTTATGTTTTTTATATCAAAAATTTTACTTCATACTAAGAAGAGCCATGATATAGACGACAGACACACTATCAATAAGACAAATCAAGTGTTCATGTATCAAGGATAAGAAAAGAAGTGACGTTGCTATCAACATCTCACTGTAACTATAATGGACAATATAAATGAGTGTCATGAATAGACAAAATATTGAATAACAGTAATACAGTCAATATTATATACAGAAACACCAATAAGAAAGTCATAAACCTGTTTTTCTGTATGTCAGAATTCTACCACCATAGTGTAATTCTGTTACTACTAACAGCCGTTTGTATTTTTGCCATATTTCGTAAACAAAAGAACATGTAGAGTGTGAGAAAGTCTAAAAATATTTAGCACACTTCTCTATTTGATATGAGATGTTGCCGAACTCTAGACGTATCTTAATTTAAAAATTATAGAAGAAATAACATGCAAAAAAATGTGACGGAATTACAATGCAGAGTTATGTGACCAAGTTGATGTTATATGTATGAAAATCATAATGTCGTGATTTTATTTATTCAAACAATAAAAATTTTTCAATTATAATAAGCAAGTTCACCAAAGAAAACAATATTTTCTTTTTTTATAAACTACATTCGCTCGATCAACGGGATATCCAAAAGCGATAGTGTAAATCGAATATTATTCAAAATACGTTGGTATAATTCTAGTCGAGCAAACATTGTTGTTAATAAATGAGATTGATTTTCCTAATATAAAATGATCATTATAAAATGTAATAGTTTCAATTTTGAATTGCTGATAAACTTACAGTTAAAACGCGAATTTTTGAATAATATGGGCTTAAACGACGACAAAATCTCATTGTTTCGTGAAATATCTGTCAAAATAAAAAACTCTTTTTTTTAAATTTATATATCATCTTCGAATGTAACATACCGTATTGACATTCAAATGTAGTTGAGTGGAACATGTTGAATGAAGTTGGCATTGATTCAACACAAATGTATCAAATGAGTTTGTCCATATTAAGATATCTTGTTCGATCTATACGATGAATATAGTTATTAATTGTTTGTTAGTTTATATCATAATTATACCTTTGAATTTAAAAAACTTGTCAACTGATTTCCGTATATTTCTCGTTCAGGATAATAACCTAAACATTTGTTATTCATATATCATATATCATCAGATTCAATACAATTTTATCGATTTACCTTCATTTTTCTTCGTTTCAAATTTAGTCAATATTGAACTAATACGTGCACCAAAATATAGTAAAAATATCGTATCACGATTATTATTGATACTTGTTTGTAAATAGAGCTATAAAATTTAAAGAGATCATTAATGACAAAACAGATATCAATTATACTACATACAATAGACTGTTGTCTACGACTGATCAATTGTAATTTAAATACGCTAACGGACAGTAGATCGTGAAACTCGGTTAAAGAATAAATCTTTGAGTCACCATCTGAGAATGATGATACGGTAAATAAATTTTTCTTTTCATCACTATCGGTATTTATATTTGTTGATAATTCACTCAAATTAATAGGAACTAGATATAGAACGAGATTATATAAATGCTAGAGTTTAATCTCTCTAACTTACGTTAGATATTCGTATATTCTTTTTACATCGTATATTGTCGAGATTGGATCTTTATTAATTGTTACTGGTGTTATTGGAATAAAATACTTTTGAAAAAAAGACAATAAGTTATTATATTCTTATAAAAACAACGATTGTACCTGTTTTATGCTTGAATAACTTGGATATAAAATTTGAGTTAAAATTGAAAACATTTCACACTGATATTTTTTTTGTGAATCACAAATATGAATTATATCAAACTCATTCGACAAGTCTAAAATGTCTATGATAAATTGAACAATGATATATTTCACGAAAGTATTTAATAATTACCATTAGAAACAATATTCGAAAATTGTATCGCAAATGTATGAAGTTGACTGTATAAATCATCTGTAAGATGAACTGAAAAGAAAGTAGAAAAATCAAGAATTAAAATCATATATAAATATTGTCTCATATTTTTTTGTCATAGTTTGTTTCAATTTATCCGAAATACAATCATTTCAAAATAGATCATATTACAAATTACAAAGTCAGTCGTGGAGAAAAAAATTCATATTTAAATATTTTCATAATTAAAATTACACTAAAACAAACCTTTTTGTTGTGACGACATTGATGTAACTATATAGTTTTCTAATTTAAAATCTTTACACGCACTATAAAAATCTATTAACAAATCATTATTTTCCTCATTTTTTTGCTTGTTATAAACCGAATGATAAAGAAGATTTTTCATTGTTTCAATATATTCTGTTGAACATTTATCCATAAATTTTGAATTTATTTTCAATGATAGTCTTTCAACCATATTCAAAAATGATTCATTTTTACATTGATCAATCATTAAAATACTCGATATAATATGTTCATGATTAATTTTGTTTATTATATTGGACCATAGTAGTATTCGTACAGAAGTAAAGACATTGCTATCATTTAACCATATAAATACTATCCAACGTTTTGTTTTACTTTCACTGACTACAGTATCAACATTCATCTATAACAAAAGATAAGAATTCCAAATCTGAACATGCATTCACTATCAGTTTTCATCCATACACCCTGTAATAGTAAACATAAAATAAAATTGTATTAAATTATTTATTAATCATCAACATCATGAAGAAAAGGACGTATAAATAAAATACAAGTAGAAAAAAAAAGAGCAGATCCTATACCGGACAAGACAAAAAACAAAAGAATAATCATCGAGTTAATCTACAGTTCAACGTTATATTTAAAAAAAAAATGTTTTAGATTTCAATGGGGAAATTGCCCAATTCTTCATCTGTCGGTAAAACAACTTTTTCAGGTGGTACATACCATGGATCAATCGCCGGTAGACCAAGACTTTCACGCGAAGCTAAACGTAGATAGGCTTCTCGTTGGCACCATTCTTCCAATCTTAATGAATAACAAAAGAATTGATTAAAAAAAAGAAGTAATAATAGATAATTTTTAAATTGAAACTATAAAATTTTTATTATTTTTTATTTAAACTCTCGATCGTTTCTTGGACAATTAGTGATCAACGTGTTTTTCAAGAATTAGATAATTTTCAACAGTAACTGCACCTTTTATCTGGAAAATAACGCCAACAAAACCAAAAGCCAAAACAGCCAATTACAATTATGGCAAAATATCGTTCTTTCATTAACACCTCATCTTTGAATTTGTCATTATAATTAAACCCGTACCACACGTGCTAAACAGAAAATAATACAAATATATGATGTAAATAAAGTTGAAAAAATTGAATAAACTATTATTTACATTTGTCTTCTCTCGTTCCCATTGTGGTTTAACCCATTCTTTTTCTTTCAGTTCGTTTTGAGTAGGAAACTAAAACAAAAAATATAAATACATGGAACAAATTTTCTTATAAGAATAATCTACAAAGTTACTTACCCATGGTTCCATATCTGTTCCTTTAACTTCATCTGGAGCTAATGTGGGTGATGTATCTTTTTTGGGAGGAGTAATAACCGGTTTCTTATCTTGTAACGGAAACTCTGAAAAATGCAAAATGAATAAAATTTATTAGCCATTGTCTGATATTAAGTATCAACCGACCGTCCGCTGCTTCAGCTCCTTTTTCATATCGGTATCGACTAAAAATTCCTCGAATATGCATAGATAATGGATAAGAAGTTTTTTTATGAAGCCGAAGAAGACGGCAAAGGTTAGTTGGCAATGACATCTATAAAAAAAAATATAAAGTTAAAGTTAGATGACCGTGTGTTGACTATCAACTAACTCGGCTACCAGAGTGAAATTCCGTGATGTTCGTTTAGCATTTTGTTTCACTTATAATTTTCGAAGGACAAGAAGCTCACGAAAATATAAACATGTACTTTTGGAATTACTTTCAAGAAGTACGTGTTTGTATTTTCGTCATAGTTTTTGACGGAAAGAACGTGTAGACTGCGTGTAGAACATCTCAAAATCTTTAGCACATTTTTTTCTTTAATATGAAATATTTTAAATCTCTGAACTTCTCACCCTTCGAAAACTATAAGAGAAACAAAATACTAAAAGAACGTCACGGAATTTCACTCTGGTAGCAGAGTTAGTTGGTCATGCTGCTATCCAATTTAAAATACGTATTAAATAAAGAATTTGTAGTTTAAGTCAACAAGTATTTTAAATAATTCTATGGAGCAACAAAAAAAAAGAAAAATTTCAACTTCCAGTAAAGTTATATCCTTGAGATAAAATGATACGGTAGTTATTGCAAAAACAAACAAACATTGCAGTCAATATAAATAACGGATTGAATTTGAAAGACAATAAAAAAAAAAAGATTTTGCGTTGCATAATCATCAGCATAAAGTATTATTTTATGCTGCATTCGATTTTGTGTCATGTTGTGGTTCATCTTTCACAATCAGTTCTGCAGGTGCTTTCTGACTCCATTCGGTGAACGAACCCTAAAAGTATACATATAAATTAAAGATACTTGAAACAGTTAAAATAAACAATACCACGTTTGAGTAGAAAATGTTTCGAAGCTATACTACCAACAAGGGTAACAGCTTTTAACCAAGTAGTCCTTGTGCTTCGTTTCCGAAACACCATGTGCTAGTTATTATCAGCCATAGATTATAACATCATGATGTTCTAGAATTTACTTTAGCGCTGTTCTTCAACATCACTCACACTGTACATTGATGAATTATAATGGAGTTTTTGATGATAAGCGCGACAAACTCATTTAGATATATAACAATTAGAGTAAATTTATTTTTACCACATAGACCGACACAGGATCTTGACCAAGTAAATGCGAAACAAAAGCTAAAGTTGATGCTGTTGTTCCGGTTTGACACGTGTAAACAGCTGGTTTAGACAGATTAACACCAGCCTTTGAGTATACTAAATAAAAATAAATCATTGATGATATAGTGTTAGTGTGATCAGCATCGATTAGTCGAATGTCTTTGAAACTGTATAGAAATTTTAAACTTAAAATAATATTAAATATGCATACTTTCAGCTAATTGCTCTTTGGGCTTCAAACAACCGGTTGTTGCATCAAACATTTGAGTATATGGAACATTCAGCGAATTTGGAATGTGACCACCATTAGCACCTAATGTCAGACAACACGAATATGTACAATTTTAATGAATCAATGAATTTGTGCGAAATTATAGAAATAATGCATCGTCATACCATAAAACAAATTTTTTGGACGAGCATCGACTAATTGCTCACGATATAATGGTTTTTTTAAGTTTTCTATAATATCATCGAATTTTCGCCACATACCCGGATCTATTTTCGCACGAAACTTCTCTGCCTAAGTAATGAATGGATTCTCTAATGCATAAAACTTTTTTTCAAAGTTAAATTGAATCAATAAAATAATTCACAAACTCGTTTGTACTTGTTCTTGTTGCGATTCTTGTCCATTGTCTTTCTCTGCTTCAATTTGATTTTTATCGTTCATCCATTTATAAAAACCACCATCAAGCACCGAAAGACTATTATGACCATATGCCTATAAAATACAATTAGAATAAAAACAATGTACACGTTTAGCAACATTGTCTAAAATTTATAATACCTTTAATAGAAACCAAGCGCGTGATGATGCGTAAAATCCGAAGGGTGAACGATCATAAATGATAACATGATGATTATTTGTTACACCTAACCGTGTTAAAAGATTTTCAAAACATTTAATTTCTGGTAATCCTCGAGGTATTAGTTTTGTTGGAGTAGTACATTCTAATTGATCAAAATATTTTGCTTTTGGAATGTGTCCACTAAAACAAACACATAAAATAAAAATGATATGATTGAAAGAAAAGAATTATCTTACTTTTTAAATTCGTCTTCACTCTGTTTGCCAAAACTAGCTTCGATGATACTAAATTTAATTGATGTTGGTTTTGATAAAATGTTTTTTAATGTTTGACAATTCAATAATGACGGTAATTTTGATGTCATTATCTAAAAACTCTAATATCTGTGGTTCTCTAGTTTTATCAATCAGTTGCATATCAGAATGAAAGTGTTTTATAGAAAAACAATTTTAAGTTATAAAATAAAACATAAAAAAAACAATACTAAACGTATAAGCGGAACTGTACTTTATATAAATGCGTAAAATATGAGATTTAAACTTCTCATGTAAGAAAAAGGTTTTCATTGTTATATTACTAGTAATCATTTCTTGTCTTGAATGTAACAAGTAGAAAATCTGATTGACTAATAATCTGAATTTGTAGTAACATTTCATCAATCAACGTAAATTCTTCATTAATATAATGGATATTTTCATATTTTTCATGATTTCTTTCAGTTTTTTTGTTTATCGCCTTTCTCTATCATATGATCAGGGGCACGTTGACTCCATTCGGTCCAAGATCCCTGAAATAAAACAGAAATTAACAGTAGGTCCCACATAGAAGTTTCGTGTTTTATACAAGAAAACTTACATAGTATAATTGAGTATTTTTTTGGCCAAGCAAATAAGCGCTAAATGCCACGCTAGCTGCTGTTGTGCCGGTGTTACAATAATACGTCACCGGTTTTGTTAAATCTACTTTAGCAGCATCAAATACTAAAATACAAGACGTCATGAAAAGTGATAAAAAGCGCTATTATTCACGCATACCTACTTTCTTTAAGCGCTTCTGTTGGTTTTAAACATTGATCATTTTGATCGAATAATGTGGAATAAGGAATATTGACTGATTGACGGATATGGCCCGAATGTGCTCCTTAAATTTTAGTCTCATAAACGATAATGAACAGTGAGTAACGAAGAGATATCACTTACCAGGAATTTTAGATCGATTTTTCCCAATATACTCATCGTATGAACGTGCGTCAACAAGTATTTCACTCTCATCTCCGTTAATTGATGCTGTAACGTCTTGATATTCCCGAATAAGATTAGGATTTAATGCACCAGTAAATTTATCCGGCTAAAATAATGAATCAACAAATTCAACAATCAAAATTCTTTTGAAGATAAGTCGTTAACCTCATAGATGGGACCTTCACTAGCTAATTTGTTATTATCAGCCACCCATTTATTTAGGCCTCCATTTAAAATCGACACATTCTCATGACCAAATGCCTAGAACAGATCAGTATACGTTAAAGAACAAGTGACAAAACTTATTAAAGGAAAAAATGACAGAAATATATGCACTATGAAGAATGATAGTATAATGTTTCGAAGAAAAAAAACGGTGTGAACATTTTCACAAATATCAAAACGAACTTTTAACATACTCGCAGCAACCACCAAGCTCGTGCTGCTCCCAGAAAACCAAATGGTGAACGATCGTACACAACAACATGATGATTGTTTGATACACCTAATAGTCCCATATAATTTTCAAAACATTTCATTTTAGGTAAACCTTAAATGGATACACATGATAATGAAAAACAATTAACTATCCATGTACACTTACCTCTTGGAACAACACTTGTTGAACGACTGCATTCGAGTTGATCAAAAAAAACAGACGTTGGGATATGTCCCCTGTGAACAAATAAAAACAATGATAAAACGATTCACTTAATTATTCTTTCATACATACTCTTTGTATTCCTTTTCCATTTCTCTGCCAAAATGTGCTTCTAAAATACGTAGCTTAGGTAATTTTCCAATTGCATCTCTCAACACAGTGCAAGTGACTAACGGTGGTAGACGAGCCATATCTGGATAAAAAAATCAACAACTTTTAAATGGAAACTAACAAACTATTACAGAAAAGGAGATTATGAATATATTGAAAAAAACAATAGAAAATCCTAATCAATCATATTAAATACGTCGATTTGTCTCATTGTTAGTTATCGGCGAGAAATGTTTCAGAATTCATCATATTACTAAACTTCGTGAAAAATGCATTGTCACTAAAGACTCCATGATACTCGAATGCTTTAGACACACACATCACTCAATCATATACAAAATATATTATTTTAGAATTTAGTTCAAAAACAGTTTGACACAAAAGCAAACGCAAAAAGAATAAAAAAAAAGAGAATATATACATGCACAAGTATAAAAACAAACAAACAAAATGACGAGCTCAAAAAGACAGAAAAACTGTTAAGTTATAGTGAATATGAGGAAAATAGAATATACATATAAATTTTTACATTTCTCTAAAACTACGTTCCGATTTTATCGATTAATATGTTCGGTTACTGTGTATTTAATTTGAAAAAATATTCACCGACTATATTTCAATGATAAAGAGAAATGAGCATAATAGAGACGATAATGAAAATTGATTTTGTGATGAATTCACCGGATAAATTAGCGAACGAACGAGAAAGAATTCAACAGAGGGTGTTAAAAACATACAATAGCAACAACAATAATGGGATCATCATTTACTAAATGCGCGCAAACAACAATAAAGTGCACATTAAATCGACGTATATGTAAGGTTTAAACTAGATACAGCAACAAACAACCAACAACAAAAATTTAAAAGTTTATATGTAGAATTCAACAAAAAAGAAGAATACAAGTAACACAAAAACAACATCAGAGAAACAAGTAAAAGGTGTTGTGGACTTTGTTTGCGTTTAAAGGCGTTGTGCAATCACGGAGCCGTTCATATGTACCACTTGATTTTCATCACTCATCACCTAGAATAAAAATATCAAAGAAATTTTTTAAACGCGAATATAACTAAATCGATAAACGTATGTTTTCGTTCTTCGTATGAGTTTCAAGAAAAAATGTTAACATTACCTTTGCTAGTTTTGGTTTTTCCCATACGGCGATGATTCCGTCTTGTGACGCGGTTAAAAAACAATTTTCACGAAATATAATTGATGAAACGCGTTCATTCGATATTAATTCGATTACAGCTGGCTCAATTAATTGAATATCGCCTAATTTTGGACACAGATGAGTACCAAACGTATTTTTCGTTAAATCCGCATTTGTCCGTCGAGGTAAACTATTATTGTTCGAGTTATTCTGTGTATTTATATTCATCGGGGCCGTTGTGGAACTCGTATCGTTCGTTGTATCTGTTGTTGTTGCCTTAGTTTTTTGACTATGATTTGATAATGACGATAACTTACGCTGTTTTTTCGTGCTTATTGACGCCATTGACTGATTTCCATTTGCGTATGTGTAATTAGTGGTGGGTTCCGCTTTATTTACTTTTGAATTTTTTGTAAACGACAGTCGATTTGTCAGCGAAGAAAATGATGTTTTAGAAGTTGTTTGCGTGGGACTATAAAATACGGTTGTGTCAGAGAGAGACGAATAACCATTAACTGCTGATTGAGGCTGTGGATTAGGTAACGATGGAGTTTGTAATAATGGGTATAATGATGAACGTTGACGTTGATGGGAAAGCTTATTATTCACTTTTAAGATATCTTCGGTTATGTCCCACATACATAAACGATTATCTTGTCCAACAGAGATAACACGATAAAATATAGATGGCATATTATTTTCAAAGCAACCATCCGATGACCAAGGTGCATGATCACGAGAGTCGCCCGACGATCCTGATGAGGAATTTGAAATACCCGATTCACATCCGTTTGCTCGTTGTTCAGAGGATGGCAGCGATGAATGATGCGATGAGTAATAGGTTTTAGCGTTCATATAGGGATCAAATGAGATACTGTTTATCCACGATGTATGACCATAACCACGGCATACAACACGATGTTGTTGATCATTGTCCAAGGAAAATATTGTTAGGAAATCATCTTCTCCACCGGTAGCCACGTATTTGCCATCAGGACTCCAAGAAAGCTAAAATAAAAAAAAGAAAACACGCTGTAAATAAATATAGAACTTTGTTTTTAAAAGAACACTTGTATCCCATTCACAAAGCAAAAAGATGAACCGTCTTAGAGACCGTCCAAAGGCAATTTTCATAGCACAAGTTAAAATAAAATAACAAATCTTTTTTGTAATACGAACACATAGAAGTCCTCCAAAATAACTTTTCATGTAAGAAATTAATTCCATCTTTTCATAATTGAATATTCTTAAAAAGCCATCTTGTGACACGGTAGCTAAATAGACATTATCGGGCGAAAATGAAAATTCGTTTATACTCCCGGTTCCAATTGACCAACGTGATACGGGATTTCGTGCTTGTTTTGATTTTGTATAAGAAACGGAAAAATTTTTTTCATCGTCTTTTATTGTTGAATAAACAGGTGGGATATTATTATCACGTTGATAAGCTATTTGTTCATCAAACACATACAAACAACCACTTGAATACGATGCAACGAAATAGCAGGTTTTCGGTGACGGTAGCCACTTGATACACGTTACTTTTGTTTTATCCAAATAACTCTAAAATTAAAATTAAAAAGAAATAATGACTAGAATAATTCTATATTCTATCACTTTATTTTTCTAGTGCAAGAAAGGTTGCGTACCGATTCATTAAAAACTTTTTGATCTTTTGTATGAGTATTAATATATTGTATTTGTCCTTTTGAGAATCCAACTAAAATGTGTAATCCATTTGTGTGTTGCCGTTGTGTTATATCATGACATGTTGGTAAGTGACCGGGTTTATACGCTCGATGATCAATAGCTTCACCAAAATTTGGCTAAAGAGAAACAAAGACAAACAAATAAGTACGATTGAAAAAGTTCTGGCAGTACACACCTGTTTTGCTTCAGTAAATTCATAAACGAGTAGCTCTCTTCCAACATTAAATGCTAAAACTTCTGTTAACAAAATAGTTCCATTAACATTTCCGTTTTGTACAGCATAGCCATTTGTTCCACCTGTTTCTACACCATTAGAAATGCTTTGCTTTGTTAAATAATCACCTGATCCATCTACATTAGAATTCGGTGGTTTATCATTGGCTGTTAATGATGACGATCTTCTAGAACTTGTTTCACTTGCTGAATTACTCTGATTCGTGGAATTATGAACTATTTGTTGTGTTCGCTGTAGTAAGGTTATCTTCACCGGTTCACTGAGAGTCGTTGTATACGTTGAACAATGTTTCCCAAGATGATCAATTACTGATGAAATTTTGTATCGTCCTTCACGTGCTGAAAATTCACTTTTAACTTCGTCTCGCCGATCTTTACAGCGCAAAATACTTGAATCACAAGCAATCGCCATTCAGGACACATTATTTCATAATTAAAAAAGAATTGATTTATTGGCAGAGTTTGTCTATATTATGTTATATTAATGTTATCATTCCTTATTAACTAATTAAGCATTTTATTTCATGTGTTCACTATTGTATCGCTAAAAAGAATTCAGTAATATAATAACTTGGAAAAGATCCATAAGTCTCCGCATTTTTCTTTTTCTCACGATTGACTTAATCAGCATCGAATCATTACGAAACGTACAGGTAAGTGATATATGCACTTTTTAAAAGATTTCTCGGGATAGAATGAATGTCATTTTTTACTTGCTTAATTTGCATCAATAAGACAATATATCTGATGCCCTCCTAAATACATGCATTGCTGAAAAGTGCAGCAGTTTCACAGTTTTCTTGTGTTTCAATCTAACATAATGAAAGATAATCTTCAAGAAACGTCAGCGACGAATTTTTAATGGTTTTGTTCAAAAAAATTGTAATTCTTTAATCTACCATTTACACCCTAGAGAACGTACTTGATGCAAGTACTTGATTACTTGCTAAATACTTGTCAATGATCGAAATACTGGCCTTATTGCTAAGAAGTACTTTCTGAAAAATCTTGGCAAGCAAGGACAAATACTTACAAGTAAATTTACTTATTGAAAAAATGCAAGTACCGGCTTCATTACGCAGACGAAGTACTTGGTCCAGGTACTGGGCCCCAAGTACGTTCTCTAGGGCAGTCTCTACAATAAATCACACTTTCGTTATGCATCGAGATCGGTTGGCATGTGCTGTTGAAAATTGCTTTTGGCCGTCTAAAAATGATGGCGTAGCCACGTCCAAACTTAACGAATGCATCACTCCTAAAGAATCCCCGAAGTCACGATCTACAACAATCACGTTCTTCTAAATATAAACAAGTCATGAGTTGAACTATGTATGTTGCAAAAATCGCTATAGTAATACTTGTTCGAGCAAGTCCAATATGTTGTCGGTGTTTCATAACAAAATATCTTTCATTATTGCCGCATCATTGTTCGAACAGTCAGAAAAGACAGGACCAATGCAGGCAATAATGTATCCGCTGGTTATAACTATCATCATTGGTTTTAACAGAGATCATTGTTTTTGTATAAATTCAATGTTTTTCTCTGAAATTGATTGTTTTGACTTTTCTACAATTAAAAAATACTAAAAAGATATGTAAGATAAAATACATCTTCATATATTTGTATATAAGTGTATGTTCCATCAATAACCAACTCAAGTGTATCATTTCCTCCATCCATGAGTTCACATGCTATTGTTGTTGTATGATAATCTATTATCTGACAACCATTAATATAGGAAAATCCCAGGTAGTCTGGAACAAAACCTTTCATTAATGCCTTACGAGCACTATCAATTACGCGATACAGTGCGTTTATCAGGTAATTCGAATAACAAAGCCAGAATTGTATTAGACAAACCCACACGTAATTTACATAATAAACAAGCCATCGCTGTACGTATCGATCTAATTGATGTATTACGAATTGGAGAAGCTATTTCTTTTATTAAATTATCGAATTGTCCTTTGTTCAAGTTATAATACTCATCAACAGAAACAGCATTACAATCATCAAAATCTAGACGTTTTTCTGATTGTAAAGTATCCCAGACTTATTTTTTAACAATTGAACATCATCTGCTTTAAATGAGATATTTTCTATCTTGTGTGTCTTAATTATGTTTATTGAACTGGGTGTGTTGAACTGGGGCAACATCTTGAACCTTCACGTATCATTATATTTTTAGTTAGAAATATCCCCAGGTGAAACTCATCTTACAAGATCATACAAGATCTGCCGTTTTCTTATGAAATCTTGTAATAAGATCTTTGTTACATAATCAGCTCATAAGACGTGACAAGAACTTACAAGATCTTGTAACATGAAAGCGTATGATCTTACAAAATCTTGCCATTGAGAGACGTGACTTGTATTTATTTCTTATCGCAAGATCATACGATTTCTTGTTATAAGATCTTATATGATCTTGCAAGAATCGATGCCTCCTTATTGCCACATAAATTTTAAAATTTAATACAATACAATATCGCAGCAACCCAGGTGATTGAATCGTACTATCCGATCGTACACGAATCGTACGAAATCATATACGGTTATGTACGATCTACATAAGAATCGTGGTACCTGATTTGTCGTCTGGCTTGTACTGTACGATTTCATACGAAGTTGTATGATCGTATTATACGATCCAGAGGACAAATCAGATACCACGATTCATATATGATTTTCATACGATTTGGTACGATTTTGTCTGATTTAGATACGATCTTAGTACGATTCTTCCACCTGGGAATTGCTATGATATTGAGTACCCAGGACAAAGAATCTTGCTGTAAGATCTTATAAGATCCTTGTAGATTTCGTCAGATTCTTGTATGAATTTTATAAGATGAATCATATGATTTTCCGTAAGATTTTACAAGATCATGTAAGATCTTGATTTGATTTTTTGACCTGGGTATATAGCTATATAACATAGTTCTTCCCAGGTCAAAAAATCAGATCAAGATCTTACACGATCTTATAAAAATCATACAAGAATTTGACGAAATCTGATGAAATCTCACTATCAAGAATCATTACATTAATTATCTTACATCAAGAATCAGTTTCTATGCTTCTTATAGAATCTTACAAATTCTTATACAAATCGGACGGAATTGTACAAGGATCTTATAAGATCTTAAGCAAGATTCTTTGACCTGGGCTTATAAGATTTGGTGAATTCTTACGTGATCTTATCACTTCTTGCAAGATCATATGATATCTTATACGATCTTATGGGATCTCACAAGATGTTGTAACATTATTTTTCTTATAAAATCTTATGGTTTCTTGGGATAAGATCTTGTAAGATCTTATAAGACCATATAAGACCATAGAAAATCTTGATATACGATTGCTCGCCCTGTGCCATATCTCGATCTTCAACCGCTATAGTCATCGATGAGCCATTAATATGAGCCCGAAAAAAACAGCAAGTTCTAAACAACTATAGAACTATATAGATTTGATACTCTTGTCCTTTACCATTTACTTACTTATAAGATGAAACTGTACAATTCATCGGTAATGTAATGCATGACCGTTCGTAATCCTGTGCTATAATTTGAGACCCTTTATCAGATTTATTTGTTGGAAAAGAATCAAAGTTGGTATCCATATCTTCTGCCCAAATCCAACAAAAAACAGGTCGCCGTGTACAACGTTGAAGAAATAATCATCAATATTTCACTTATCTGATCATCCTCTGAGTTAACACTTTCAGCAAAATCTTTTTCACGCTAATCGTCGAATACTAGACGCTCTAGACAAAGAGGCACCACAAGGACAATAACGATCCATTAAGCAAGTGTCTAATGTGAGAATGATTGTTTATCTTTAAATTTCACTATAAAGAGTATACTATAGAACGAAAACAAACGAAAAACTTTTTTCTGTTCTACGTCCAAACATGTTCCCCTATAAAATAAATTCTTTTTCGTTATTTACTAATAATCTCAGAAACATTCAGATCACAACAATCGAAACTGTCTAGACCATACCAACAGATAAAAGCGATGCCTATAAAACTTAAATAAATACTAACACATACTTCAAGCAATACTCACCTAAAGCTTCATCATCCAGACTTACCTTTTTTTGTTGAGATGCTCAACGGTGTTTTGGATGTTAGACTACCTAGTTATATTGTCTTCTCAATATTTTCTATAGCGTTTTGTAGAATAAACCTTTTCTTTTACGAATTGCTGACATGCTCCAGCCATCTCAAAATTGTATAAACGTGAACATTTTCAAAAATAATATTTTTATTTTTTAATAAACGCTGTCAGCGTGAAAAATGTTGATTGAGACCGTTTTTACTCAAAACTTATTGTTGTATATATGGTTCGATGCAGCTTGACGCACTGATGCCAAATAGTCACGGGTTTGGATCAGAAGAAAAATGGATTTTATGTCAAGAACCTCTCCTACAAATCAGAAGCATTTGCGCATTTTTGCGCTTCGATTGTTAATGTACTATGGACAGAAGAAGATTTGTTCAAAGTTTCAGCGAGAAAAATATTTCGGAAGCTCACTATGCTGGAGGCATAATCGTTGAACAATTTTTGGTGGCGTGAAAAATTGCAGTTTTCTTTCGTGTTTTAAGTTCAAACAACAAGAATTTTTTAAAAAGGTCTTAAATGACTCGTGGTTCATGCAGAAGATCTTACTTGAGTCAAACGAATCGTTAACTTGTCAAAAAAGTTTTATTTCACTTCAACAGCAGTGTTTTCGATAGTAGTTTTGGTGGGGGGGGGTGCCGAGCCTGCTGAGTAACTAAAATTTTTCATTGAGTAACGCATTTTTTGATTAAAATGTTTTCTGGGTAACTGAGTTACTCAAAAGCTGGAAAAAATCTCTTACTCAGGCAGATCAGAAAAGGCAGTTTCTCTACTTAAATTTCTTAAAAAATTTGAGTAAGTCAAAATTTTTTGAGTATTATCAAAAAGTTTTGATACAGTTTGGATACAGTTAAACTGTATCCAAACGAGAGAGTGGTATGCCACCCCCTACCACCCTCTAATCAATAACGCTGTTCGACAGGGTGATGTTAGACCTCTTTTTTGTATACCGTTTTTTCCAACATTAGCCTCTGGGTTCAATCAGAAATTTTTTTAAAAAAATATAATCTATAGTCTAGAAATTACCATTCATTGTTCAAAGTCAAAGAATGCACACTTTCAGTTGTAGGCTAACATCATTGTTTACTGTTGCACGTTGGATTGATTGAGAGACAATTGTGAGTAAATCAGCATATTTTCGATTTAGAAACAATGGAATGTCAACAATTTATCACTCATCTTGAGAATAGTGGCTGTAAAAGGTCAAAGGTGAGAAATGGTGCTAATAAACAAAATGTTTATGTTGAGCAACTCAAGCTATTTATTCTATTTTTGAGTTACTTT